GGTAAACGGATTTGTGTACTTGCAATCAAACCTTCGGGATCTTGAAGCTGCTCTTCGAGCCATTCCTTCCGCTTGCGAGAGGTCTGACTGTCGGTCAAGTACGCGTTATCGATAGCATCGGGTTTATCCCATTGGTATTCCTCGGTTTGGCTGTTGAAGTAGTACGGAGCTTGAATCATGTCATCAAGGATCGCAAGATACTTCGCGAACAAGTCACGAACAGTAATCGGAGAAGGAAGATCGAACTGCTTTGAGCCGTCGGCAGCGTTGATCGAGATGGCAGTATCGCCACTAAGCTTGACATACTGCAGCATATCGTCCACACCCGTCACATTCTCAGGATACACCACAGCGATATCTCCAGCTCTGAATGGAGGCTCAGTTGTGCTGGAATTCTCGCTTATATCAAACTCTACATGCCTCACATCTTGCTCCCAGTCCTCGGCAGTAATTCGCTTGTTCACCACGACGGGAGCCAAGTAGATGCCCTTCTCACGCCCCACCGTCGTGCTTGGTGGCGCGTAAAAGCTGGAACTATCCATCCCCGGTGTCAATAATTTTGCCTGCTGCACCTCTTGAGCTCCAGCGTCATGCACAATAACAGAGTAGCGAGGCTCGATTGGTTTTGGGGAGTCATCAACTGTTACTCCCTCAGGCAGCGGATACAGCTGCAACACTGCCGCCCAGAGCTTCTCCATCCACGGGTTCAAGGCCCCAAAGTATCCGTATGCGTGCTGATCGTCACCCAACCCACGGTCGATGAGCTCCGAGGCTCCCAGCTGCAGCAGACGCGCTTGCAGACGCCTGGCCACCGCATTGTACTTGGCGTAACTGGAATCGCCCAGGCCGAACACAGCCACCCGCACACCCGCAAGCCACTGTGGTCCCAATGTCTTTCGCAGCAGACTGCGCCAGCTGTTGCGCATATTCTCGGGCGCCTCGCCGTCGCCAGTCGTGGACACTACGAACACGACGGTAGAGCACTGCGCCAGCAACTGCGCCACAGGGAACTCGTCCATAGCCGAAATTTGCGTGTCCAGCAACTGCCGGTTGAAAGCGTGCTGTTGCACGAATTCGGCCACGTCCTGTGCCGTGCCCGTTTCGCTGCCGTAGAGCACCATCACCCGCGGCATCGCTGGCGTCGAAGCTGGTGCCATCACCGTGGTCTCTGCTCTGATTGGGTAATGACACAAACGTAATTTGGAGCGGCCCACATAGTGTGGTCCACATCTCGTTCGGAGTACGTCAGCACACTCATTTTAACATATCTTACCCATTTTGGCGTGTACGCTCGCACATTGATTTACAAATTCGGCTCTTTTATTT